TTGCACGGCCCTATTGCTGCCCACAGGCTGTCATAATGAGCTCCTTGAGAAAAAGTACACCCAGACCTGACTGTTGCTATGCCTATGACTTTTTTCACAGAAGCGTGTGGTTATCAATCACCATTGTCTGCTATCCCCTGTACACTGGAGCTTTTCATGCCTACCAGCTGGCTTGACCTAAAAGTCTTCGTTGCTCCAGGAAAGAGGCTGGAGGGAGAAAACACTTTGAAACGCCGACCATCTAGTGACATTTGGGGGGCCTTTTCATTTCCCTCTTCTTGAATAACCATTTTGCTCCCTTTTTATGTATGTCGGAGTGAACGGCTACCAAAGCAAATACACAGGAAACGGCGAGAATGTAACAGGAGGTAGAGAAAGCAGGTCGGGGGCGGGGGAGGCAATGAAGCCGTTCTTTCTAATCAGACGGTTATGTAAATGGGAGCGATGCACAACCCTGAAGTCCCATGAAGGAAAATAAATGTGATACACTGGACTTCGAATACAATGTGATACCAATAATCCATTAGCCTGCTAGATGTCGGCAAAACACATATGCTGCTCTCAATTGACCCATTAACACGGCATGCTTAGAAAATGCCAGTGCTCTACAGGTTAATAGTTCAAACAGGAGAGAAAAAAAGGGACATTAACATCCAATTTGCATATTTCTTTTATTTAGTTTAATTTTTTAGTAATAGTTTTGCAAGGAGCCCACATGTGGAAGGTACTTACCCCACTCTAATGACTCCCTTTGGCAGTTAATGTTTATTACAGTGGCTCTACTGGTTAATTCGGAAACTGGAAATGGCTTCTCTATATTTCTGGTGTCTGGCCCTTTTGGCAATATCAGGCGTTATAGACGTAGAGTTGCTTGAATAGGCCATTGGGCAAAACTACATTTCTGAAGGCCAGGAATGGTCACAACTCACTGGAGAAAGGGCTAGTGATATATAAGGCGGTGCCGGAGGGTATTAGTCTGTGTATCCCATTGTACTGGAGTTGCTGAATCTATTAGAAGTCCCAAGGCTACGACTGCATCCAGACCCACCGCTGGGGGCAGGGGAGACAGGAGGCAGTTGCAATCTTTGCCCTGGGGCTCAGCTATTCAAAGAGTCCTTAAATAAACGTCTATCAGGGATGGTCTAGACAGTACTGGGTCTAGTACTGGGTCCATTTGAGGTCCCTTCCAGTCCTAGTATTCTATGATTCTATAAAGAGAGTAAACACAACGGCTACGTCTAGACTGGCATGATTTTGCGGAAATACTTTTAACGGAAAAGTTTTTCCATTAAAAGTATTTCCGCAAAAGAGCGTCTAGATTGGCAAGGATGCTTTTGCGCAAAAGCATCTGTGCCAATCTAGACGTGCTTTTGCGCAAGAAAGCTCCGATGGCCATTTTAGCCATCGTGTTTTCTTGTGCAAAAAATTTAGGTGCCTGTCTACACTGGCCCTCTTGCGCAAGTATTCTTGTGCAAGAGGGCTTATCCCTGAGCGGGAGCGGGAAAGTATTTGCACAAGAAGCACGGATTTTGTACATTACAAAGTCAGTGCTCTTAAGCAAATTCAAGCGGCCAGTATAGACAGCTGGCAAGTTTTTGCCAGTCTAGACGCACCCAAAAGGTAATTATCAAGTGATCCCTCTTCTGTCAACCATTTCCAGCCTCCGACAAACAGAGGCTAGGGACACCATCCTTACCCACTCTGGCTAACAGCCATTGATGGACCTAACCTCCATATGAACTGGGGCCTCCCTCTCTAGGTCAGACTCAGAGCAATATTTTGGCTTCCATTTCTGCTGAAGAGCTTCTTGTAACGCCATCTCTAGTAGCATGCATGGTAGAAATGGCTTCTCCCTCGCAGCTCACGCATCCTTTTATGCCTCTGAAAGCTCATCAACACTGCGAGGAAGCAATAATATTGGTATTGTACTTCGTAGTACAGAGAGGCCTGAATCAACACCTTAGCCCTGTACTTCACTCTATTTGAGGTCTTATAAATCCCCAGAGCTGACTGTTCATTGTGTCCCTTTCGAGTTTTCAATCTTCCTTGCGCTTTACAAAAGCTAGCTAATCCGTCTTCAACACATTGTCATATGCCTAGGAGGGGAAATGACGGAGCCTTTGAGACTAGCATTATAAAAATCATACTAATTCCTTGTAATATCTCCTCCCCGAGGAGGGCATGCTACAGACATCTCCACACCATGCCTAGTAGGTTTCTATTCCTCTCACATCAGTTGGTGGACCCCACCCCTAAACATGCTTAAATACAGACAAAAACTTAGTTCAAAACTTGGGAGCAGAGCTTCTACCTGTCACTGTCAGCATGAGAGCTGAGAGATTGTGCTGGGGGAAGGGGAAGTGTGCGAAGCTTTCCCCACCATGCTTTCCAAGTTCCCTGTAATCTTTTCCACCCATTTGCGGAATAATTTTTTCCATGCATGTGCAGAATATTTTTATGTGCACCAAAGCATGTGCACATGTGTACCACCGTAGAAATAAATAACAACAAAAAAACCTAGCCTGCACTTTCAATTCCTCAAACTGTGATAAATACAAATATGCATCTCCGTTCATTTTTTTTTAAATTGAGAGAATTCTGGTTTCATGCTTGCTGCTATTGCTTTGCCATTTTCCTCTACTAGAAAAGAAGGCTTTGGGCCAGCCTATCCCCACTATTCCAGCACCCTGAAAAAGATCATTTTATTGACATCTACAGCAGAGCTACTGAAGAGGTATCCCTCTCTGCCTCTTGGATTCAGCCAAAGTGCTGGTGTTCTACAAAGCTTGCTAAATGATGGGCCCAAACACCTATCATGGCTCTAGATTGGGCTACCTAAGCCTCTTTCTCTATCAAGAAACCTGGAGATAATCTTCTGATTGTCATTAGGTTGCTCTTGCAGCATTTGCAGAATATGTGGAAAGAAACAGATGTGTCGTTTTCTTGACTCGCCCACAAAAAAGTGGTAACATCCCCGCGAGGGTTCTGTTACCAACACTCTCCATGTCTGTGGGGGTGTCAGCGAAGGATACAAATAAACGCAAGAAAACGGCAGCTACTGAAACTGAAAACAGGACGTCTTGAAAACGAAATGGCTCCAGCCTTATAGAATCATAGAATCACAGAACACTAGAACTGGAAGGGACCTCGAGAGGTCATTGAGTCCAGTCCCCTGTCCTCTTGGCAGGACCCAGTACCATTCTAGACCATCCCTGATAAATGTCTATCTAACCTGCTCTTAGAACAAGACTCTAGCCTTATTTCCCTAGCATTTCCATGTCATCCTATCCTGGGCTACCTTATGAACAAGCCTGTACGTGGCATAAATTCTGTTACAGTCCCAGGGTGAGATCAATCTGCTACCAGAGAGTTACTTTGGGAGCATGCAAGCCACCTCCGAAACTCTTCCAAATTGATTCCCTGGGAAGTTTATTCAGCTTACCATTTGGCAGGGAAGCAACTTGAGTTCTCCACACCACCTTTTAAACCAGGCAAGCTGGCTTAATTCCCTATAGAAGAGGTGACACACAAGGTGCAAAAAATTTTTTGGGGGAAAAACCCCACCTAGGACCTGATTTTCCACTGTCTTGATCTGTATATGAACTGTATGACAGTGAAAAGTGCTACCAAAATAGAAGGGTGGATTTTTACACCAACTCTGCACGGGTGCAAAGAACAACACAAGGTGCAGGACAAAGGAGAACAAGGTTCACCATTTTGGAGCAATTCTGTGTCTGTCTCCTGTCAGACAGGCAGAGTGCCGGGCTATCTGATTATTTGCTTTTTTTTCCAGATTTTACTGGCATGGATATCCATATGTGCACTAAAGAAGGGAACTTTGTTTCAGTTTATGCTCTCATGGTGCGTATGCCTCATGCAAAGCCATAATACTTTCTCTGTGATGTCATCTGCACAGTAACCAAGTGTGATGTCACAAACAGAATGCTATGGCTTGTGTGTGTTTGTGATTGGGCAGTAGTGTGCATGTGTGTGTGTGTGTGTGTGTGTGTGTGTGTGTGTGTGTGTGTGTGTGTGTGTGAGGAAAGGGAGCTGGCAAGTACCAAATGTTATATGTTTGGATTTTTAGATTTTCATCAATTGAAAATTTCAGAGTTGTGTAAAATTACAGTGTCAGCAAAGTACTATTTCATGCCAGTCGACATAAAGAGTAAAAAAAGCTTTATAAATTATTAAAATCTAATTAACATCAAAACATGCCGTAGACCATCCTTGTTTTTACTATTCATTTGCTAGTCTATTTGTAACCAACCTAATTCAAAAGTTCCAAGCCCGGGATTTTGAGTCTAATACATTCTGAAGACATAGTTTTTGACAGCGCTTAGCTGTAAATTTCAGTTATTATGGATGGAAATACTTTTATTGGCTTGTTTGCATATAGTGAAATTGACGTCGACTGACTTTCGCCAATAAAGATCAAATCTTTCCATGCCTAAATATATGGAGGGAATGGAGAGCTAATTCACATAAAATAAAATGTAAGCATTAATGGGACTGTGGGTTCAAGTCCCACCTACTACCTCCCCCCCACACCCTGAGGGCAGCCGGGCAGCTGCCACCAGATTTCCGCAGATTGGAGCTAGCATCAGCTGAAGGTAGGGAAATGGGGGGGCTCCCAGTGACCTAAATCTTGAAGAGAATGGAGGAAAAATACCAGGTGGGAGGCTGCTCCTGTCATACTGTGAATTTGGTCCTAATTCCAGAAATACCACAGATCTCAGGAGAAAGTCTAAATTCATCTTGTTCAAGTTTGATTCCCTGACCAGAGAAGTTCAGAAAAGCATGCAGATTTGAGAGCTAACATCTCAACTGACTGTAGTAAACATGTCCTCTGAATTTTCACACGGGGAGGTTTTACTTTTCCCCTACACACACAGCAAATCTGTATTTGTGAAAGTGATCTGTGGAACGTAGCAACCCGATAATTGCCACAGCCATAAAAAAACACGACTTTCGAACGGCTCAGCTGAGCAGAAGCATACCTGATCATTAATGGGACATACAGCTAGATTTTGTTCATCACAGGAACAGGCCACCCGGATGTATTTCAGCCAATTTCCAGCTCCAGTCTGATTAGCATCAGCACAGAATTTCTCATTTCCCAGGTCATCAGCAATCTAAGGACAAAAAGGATGAAGAAGATGTTTTTCACTTGATATGAAATGACAACAAATTTGGAAATCCACAAGTGTGAAATGTTCTTTTATGATTGTTTGCATTGCTGGGCCCCCAAACAAGAAAGAAAGTTAGAGAAACAGCTTGTTAATTGACATGTCTGATAAAGAGATACAAACTGAATAACATCAGTTATTTTACACAGCTGCTTACATCCCAGGAAAGATTATCAGTGTAGAACCTCCACATGATCACATCCATAAAACATGCCATGAATCGTGAAATCTGCTCTCCTCCTGTGGAATCTGGTTGTGTGTCTTTCCTGGAATACACAGATTTCGCAGAATTTCTCAGCTGGGAGGTGCTGGCCCAGAAAGGAATTGTGGGGCATAGTGGGGTCCACACAGTTATTTTAGGAGGATCACAGTATTGCCATCCTTAGTTCTGCGCTTGTTTTTAGAGCGAGGTGGCCACAGAGCCACCAGCAGCGGCGCCAAAGAACGGGTGGTAACACCAGACCTTGTTACCCTCGCTTCTGTGGCTGCTGCTGGCAGAGCTGGGCTCCCAGCCAGCAGCCACCGCTCTCCAGTGGCTCAGCTCTGAAGGCAGTGCTGCCACCAGCAGCAGTGCAGAAGCAAGGGTAGCAGTCCCGCAACCCTTCCTGCAATAACCTGGCAACCTCCCCGATTCCTTTTGGGGTCAGGGACCATATAATGAGAACACCATGGAATTTCAGGTGTAAAGAGCTGAAAGTCTGAAAAGTATAATTTGTTAAAAATACGATGACCATGAAATTAACCAAAACGGACTGTGAATTTGGTAGATTGCTAAAAATGAGCAATGAAAACAGAGCTCCATTACCCACATAGCTATTACAACTAACCAAGTCACCTTTTCTGAGCTGGTTTCTATGAACTATCTAGGGACTTACATGGTTCCGTTGCCATGATATCTGTTTCTGTTATTAGGTTGAAAAGAGGCTCACAGCACAGGTTGAACCTCTCTAGTCCTGCACCCTTAGAGCCAAACCAGAAATTTGATGAGCCATGGGAAGTTAATTTTGTCTAGTAGCGTTACCAACCCTTCCACTGCTTAATGGGATCTGAGAAGACATTGAGGGGTAATTTAGAGCTAAATAACAGCACAGAACACTGAGAGCCAGGACTGGTGGCTGTAAACAAACTTTATGGGACCAGAGGAAACTTGGCCACATTCATGATAAATGGCCATCTGACTAACTAAAATTATGCCGGACCATGGATTTTGCCAGACCAGAGCGTGCTGGACTAGAGAGCTTCAACCTGTACTTACTACTGTAAACAAAAACCAAACGAACAAACAACCAAGAAACCCCCACAGACATTCAGTTCTGGGGGGGGGGGGGAAGGGGGTGATAAATGGGCTATTTTCTTAAAATTGCAAAATTAAATATATAAATAAAGGTGGGCAGCAAACAATTCTGTCCTCAGTTATACTGACCCTTCTGCAATGAGCTAGAATCACTAGAAAACCCAGAAGGATTCTGGTGTAAGGGAGATATATGGGTTTTGTGATTCAAAAAGGACATTTTAAAAACATGAGTCTTTTGGCGTTTGCTTTCTTGAAGCAGAAAAATAACAGTTTCACCATGTAGAGATCAGCCAGTACTGAACATTTCACACCACAGTATGTTGTTTTGTTCCAGCATCTCACACAAAATAATCGTTACCGCATCACACAGAACTACGGTATCTAATGGGTGAGAAGGAAAAAAACAAAACTAAAAAAAACTAAACAAAACCCATGGCATAAAATGGTTTTAATCATGTCTCACTACGCTTGACTGTCCCTTACAGATGTGTTATTTTTTAGACCTATATTTCCCTCTAATTAGGGTATGTCTACACTGCACACTTATTTCGGAATAAACTATTCCGGAAGATATATTCCAAAATAGCTTATTTCAAAATAGAGTGTCCACACTACAGGGAAGCATCAAAATTAGTCTGAGGCAGACTCCCTTAATGTGGACATGCTATCTTGATTTAGAGCCCCAGGAAGCACTGGAGAGAAATTACATAGAATGGCTCTGGGGAGGACTATTTCAAAATAGCTATTTCAGAAGAGGAGTTATTCCTTGTGGAATGAGGTTTACAGAAGTTGGAATATGCTGCACATTATTTTGAAATAACGGAATTGCTGTGTAGATGCTCGCATTGTTATTTCGGAATAACGCTAGTTTTCTGAAATAGCAGTGCAGTGTAGACGTACCTTAACTCTCATAGATCCGGTAACCTTGCATGACTATTTAAGCCACGCAAGGTTCTCGGAATGTTTTCCAAGAAATTAATTCCTCATCGGCATGATAATTCCATCTATTTCTAAGATGGAGGAACTGGGGACGTAGGGTGGAACAGAAGAGTTAAGCGACATGCTGAAAATACCAATGAATCGGTGGCAGGGCTGGAAATCAGAAACCACTGGGCCAGAGTCTCAGCAGGGGCAAATCAGCATGTGGAGTTACACACCATTTGAGGATCTGGATCCATGAGGCCCGATGTCCCGCTTTCTGCTCAGAACATTAGACCGCACCTTCTTAAACAGCTGCATTATCAATGGAAAACTGGGGAATTGAAGTCAGAGCAGGGTAATCAACAGGCAGGCCACAGGCCAAACATGGACCATCAGATGCTTTTGAATGGACCCCAACATCTTTTTATTTACTTACATAAGAACGGCCACACTGGGTCAGACCAAAGGTCCATCTAGCTCAGTGTCCTGTCTGCCCACAGTGGCCAATGCCAGGTGCCAGAGAGGGAATGAATAGAACAGGGAACCATCAAGTGATCCCTCCCTTGGTACTCATTCCCAGCTTCTGACAGAGGCTTGGGATACCATTCCTGCCCATCTTGGCTAATAGCCATTGATGGACCTGTCCTCCATGAATGCATCTAGCTCTTTTTTAAACCCTGCACTTTCAACTCCTCAAACTGATAAAATACAAACACGCCTCTCCGTTCATTTTTTTTTAATCGAGAGAATTCTGGTTTCATGCTTGCTGCTACTGCTCTGCCGTTTTCCTCTACTAGAAAAGAAGGCTTTAGGCCAGCTGATCCCCACTATCCCAGCACCCTGTAAAAGATCATTTTATTGACATCTACAGCAGAGCTACTGAAGAGGTATCCCTCTCTGCCTCTTGGATTCAGCCACAGTGCTGGTCTTCACAACATCCTCTGGCAAGGAGTTCCACAGATTGTGTGCTGCATGAAGAAGTACATAAGAATATAAGAACGGCCATTCTGGGTCAGACCAAGGGTCCATCTAGTATCCTGTCTGCCAACTCCAGAGGGAGTGAAATGAACAGGTGATCCAGAAATCAAGTGATCCATCCCCGGTTGCCTATTCCCATCATTATTATTTCTTTTTCATGCTTGCTGAAGTCTGGACCTGGGCTACATTTGGACTAAGAAACTTGGACCTTGACAAAAAATAATTGGCTGCTGCTGTGTTAGTGTTTGGCCTAAAGCTTTGTATAAAAACTTGATACTGATGCTTCAGTGGAAATTTTCTCCTTCCTGTCAGAAAGTGTTTGCATGGAAACATGTAAGCGGGAGAAAATAACAATATCCACGTGTACTTTTATTCACGTCCCACTTAGGTGCAACCCTGGTCATTGTTTACTGCTTGTTGCATGCCTGTGCTGTCCGCACCCAGAGGTGTATCTAAACCCGGTGGGTTATTCTGCATTCAGAATCGCTTTTCCTGGCTCTGTCACATGGCAAAGGTAAAACACCAAAGGCCAGAGGAGAAGAAACTTCGTAAGAATTGCACACCCAAAAGTTTATTACGGTTGCAAAGTGACTCCTCCCCACATCCAAGTTGCCTGTGCAACCTTAATTAGTGCCCTTTGGTGTTTGCATTCTTAGGAGATAGCCTTTAATTACAGAGTCATATTTTTTTCCCTTTACAGGGCCTCAGCCTCACTCAACATTTTGTTTTCTCCTCCTTGTGTAATGGACGGTCCCCTGCCTCATTTCCTGCGCACTGTTCAAACCATGCAAAGAGGACAGAATTTTTATTTTCTTCATGGACTTTTCAGCAGCCGGCGTCACTGGGTGGAGCCACCCCCAACGGGAAAGAGGTTCTTTGCCTATAGGTTGCAAAGATATTTGCCGCAGCAGCAAACACTTAGGAGTTCTGGATCCCACGCCGAGCTCTGGAGCAGCGCGTTCTGTTGTGCTCATAGATTCTTCTGCCTCTTTCCACCAAGCTGAACTCTGGGCATGATCTCCTCCAGTTGGTCCCTCTGCCAGGCCTGTATTTTCCCTGCCTCCTCCCACTGTCCTAATCTGGTCCATTTCAGTCTGGACTCTTCAGGTTGTTCACAGCAGTCCGTTTTCTTTGCCCCTTGCTCTGATCTCACGTTCCTGCTCCTCCATGTGCCCAGACAGTATAGGAGAGACAAATGTCTTGTCTGCAGCTCCCCGGAGCAGGACTTGTCGGGAAAGTCTGGTTCAGCCCTAAGCTGGAGTCATGGGTGACAGGTGCCTCCCCATACTGTGTGGGGAACAATCTGCCCAGTGATTCCCACCTGGGGCTGCACATTCTCCCCAACTCACTTTTTCTCTGGGGGCTTCACCCTTCTCTCCTTGTGCCTCCCCCAGGATGTCTGCCCACTTTCCCCAGACCTGGGCAGGGAGTGGCACAGAGTCACTTCTTCCTGATGGAGCCTGGCTGGGAGGCAGCAGCCACTTCCTCCCTGCCTGGGCCTGGCTGCTGGGGGCAGACAATCAAGCGAGCCAGAGGCCCCTTTCTCTCCACCCTCCATGTTAGGGCTCACTTGGCCCCTGTCGCCAGCAGCTAGGGTGGCGGAGTTTCATGCAAAAGGTACATCCCTGACACAAAAAACACCAGTCCCTTGCCAAATGTCAAGTCTCTTCCTCCAAGATGAGGATGGTAGTGATTTAGAAAAGGTCACGACAATTTTCTTTAAAATATGGGCAAAACAACATCTTTTCCCTGG